CAGTCATCTTCTGATGTTATACATTTTGAAATTTTGGTATCATCAGCGAACGAAAAGATGCATGAATCGGTCACGATGAAAGGTAGACCAATTACAAACATGATGAACAAAGTTGCGCCAATGGGATAACCTTGACCAGTACCAGAAGTTACTTCGATTGGGTCTGATTTGGTATCTGATATCTTTACTATTTGTCTGCGTCCAGACAAATACGATTCGATCCATTTTAACAGCTGTGTATTCAATCCCATGATGTTTAGCTTTTGAATAAGTAATTTTATATTCACAGAATCAAAAGCCTTTGCTTGTCTGTTCGATGTCCCTTTCCCATTTTGATTATCGTATTCGATGTAAATTCCGCCAAGTTCGTTATCGTTGACCTATTTTTGATGAACTCATGCTGACTTTCGTGTACTTTTATGTTCTTTAGATATTGATTGAGATGGTTCGTGACGATCGAATCAAGAATTTTTGACACTATACACTGAAGAGCGACACCACGGTAATTTTGAACGTTGTTTCTGTCACCGTTTTTGTAAACCGGTCTGACAAAAGACGTTCTTCAAATCTGTGGTACAGTGCATGTTTCAAGAGATTCTCTTAACAATGTTGTGATTGGTCCCCGCAATGAAACTAAACAATGCTTGATAAATTTATTTGGTATTTCATCGGGACCACTGACTAGATCATCCGGGAGCATGTCAATTTGTTGTCCAACTAGCTCCTCAGTTATTTCAATTGTTGATATTTCTGCACAAATGTTGCGAATATTTTCAATCTCCGAGCTATCCAATTGTATATCTTTCTTCAAAAAGATGTAGGCTGAGGCAAAGTGCCTTGCAAAGAAACCAGCAATCGTAGACTGGTCATCTGCCCTCATATCCAGATAAGACATCTCATGCGGCAGATCATCACTTTTCAATTTTATGTTATTCACATGTCTGAAAAACTTCTTCGGATCCTCGTCTATTAGATTCTCCATCTCATTTCTGTAATCATTGAGTGCTGACCGTGCACTG